TGTATCTTTCTATCTCTCAGGTATCTCTCTTCTTCCTTTCATCTTCCTATTCCCACTTACCTTTTATCTTTCCTTTTCTCCACCTATATCTCTAAATGTATTGCCTCCCTCTGCCTCTCATCTCTGGATTTCCCTCTTTCGCTTCCTCTGTATTGGCTCTCCTCCCTCTCCTCAGGTCCAACAGCAGATAAATAAATGATGTCCAGGAAACTGGCTGCTTTTACAACACCGATACCACACTCCTTCCTTTCTTACCCTCCCTTCAAATCCCTCCTTCTTCCCTTTTCCATTTTGTGAACACCCATCCCCCAAATCTCTCGTCTCCTGCTTCTCCTGGCAAAAAAAAGAGGAAAGGATAGTAACCGCAGTCCTTTCGGGTCTAAATAAATCATAGCCGAGCACTGCCTTGCTTTTACAACACCGATCCACCACTTTCATCCTGGCAGCCATGAAAGAGGGAGTAGAGAGAGGAGGAAGTGAGAGAGACTATCTAAGGACATGTGAGTAACAGGAGTGGATATCAAAGGAAATGGTGAATGTAAAAGTGTCTTTAGTCGTATCCGTCTTTCTTTCTAAACCTCCTCAGGAAGTAAAAGTCTTCTTTCACGAACAACAGTTCAAACAGGTCTACCCCGAACTCAGAAAATAGAAATTAGTTCTTTGGATCACTTTCCATAAATCAATGAGAAGACTGAATCCTGAACATTATATTCTCAACATGAAGAAAAACTAGCTGCATTTTGTAACAAAATAAATAAAATTTAACAATGCATTTTTATTTTTCAAATGATATTATTAACTCTTAATAAATGGCTATCCGTTTGTCCAACACAGATAAAGGACTCAACCACAGCGGCACAAGCATACTTTTTTCATTCAGCGATGTGTCAAATATTTTATAAATCCAATCCTTTCAAATGTCTCGTAATTTTAACATGTTGTCTGATTTAATGAAAATAACAGCCCATCACTTTATTTCCAGAGAACAATTATAACAAGATTAATGAAACTAACAAACTAAAATCCATTTAGCATTTTCCGAATGAGTCCGACGCCCCAGTATTCAGCTTTTGACTCGTCAACGCTGCTCCTGTGAAACATATTAAGCAGCTGAGATAAAGCCTAGTCTACCAAGAAACAGCGGCTAATTAAAAATGACTAGATTAATTAATGTGGAGATTCGTTAGTCGCACACACACATTCAGTGCAGTGCTTCTTTCATTTGGCATGACGCATACACACACACACACACACACACAAATGGCTGAAACACACACGCAACATATCCAGTTGACTGTCAGCTTACATACAGTCTCCTATGCAATATTCACACAGTCACATTGAAATGTAGAAAAGTACATTCAAACACACATGCAGGAAAACATATAGTGATCGTCATCTTAAAGCTCTATCACGCAATAAACAGGTAATCTTGACCAAAAAAACACACACAAATATCAGGTACAAGAGCACACACACACAGTTGTACATTGACACACATGAAAACACACAACAATGGTGACAGACACACACACGCTGACACATTGGACTTTTATACTTGTATATTTATACTATTGTGAGGACCCGCTTTGACTCCTTACATAGTCAAAGACTAAATGCATATAGCCCCTACACGCTTAATCCCAAATGTTACCTTTAGTAGGGCTTCAACTAATAGTTTCTTTTGTTATGAATTTATTTATTGATTATTCTTTCAATTAGCTGATTACTTGCCAACAAAATGTCTGAAAATACTTAAAACTACCAATTATACGAATGGGACATCTCCAGATTGCTTGATTTGTTGGACTAAGAGTAAAAACCCCAACAATATTCAATTTACAATGATATAAACCTGAGAAAAGCAGCAAATCCCCAGGCAGGAACCAGCAAATGTTCTGCATTACTGCTCTATGAGAGACCTGACTATGGATCAACTAATGGATTAATCAACTAATCCTTTCAACCCTAACCTTAAACTAAACCAAATAATTCTGACCTAAAACCAAGTAAAGTAAAACCAGCGAGTGTTGACCGGCACTTTCATAAATGTGTCTCACTATGAAGGTCTAAAACGCAAACCGGTCCTCACAATGATAGAAGTACAAGACTCCTCTCACACACACAGTTTGTGTGACCACACACACACACACACACACATAGAAATACACACCTACCTGATGGTGCAGTCACATGACCTCCAATCACTGTTATCTCTATCACCCCATTTTGTACTGCGGTCACGAAATAAACCCCAGGAACTGAACAGATGGAGCTGTGCCTGTGTGTGTGCGTGTGTGCATATGTGAGAATATACGCATACATCTGCGTGAGTATGTGTGTGTTAAGATGCTTGAAATGAAGATCAGTCCAGCGGCAGAATTGCTTACTGTCATTCATGCCCTTTGCACACGTGCACAAATACTTGCACACACACACACACACACACACACACACGTACCTGCCTTTATTAAAACGTCACATTCAGTGAATATACTGTGTGCTGTCATGCTGTCTGCTGTGAATGGGAACGGCTGCGTATTTACAGTGAATTGTAAATCCTGCAGAGTACTCAGCTGTCAGAGTCTTATGAATTGCTAATATGTTGTATCTCGCACTGCTGATCCCCCTCTATCTGCCCCCTATCACTTCCATTGTGCGCTGAGCAAAAAGTGAGGCAGGGGAATCAAAAAAGCTCACTTTGCTAAAAGGAATAAAACCTAGAAAGGGAATCACGACAGGTTGAATTCAAGATGGCAAAATAAACTTTTTTTTTGCAGCATTAACCAAAGCTGATATTAACACAAAACATTAATAAAATGCTTTCTTTGCACCACAGCATTTAAAATACAAACTACCTCATTCTAGTACTTGTAAGAGCTGTGAGATTGGAATGTGGTCCACAGTGTACGCTGCCATGTATTGAACCATTCCCCACTGTATCCTCTGCTCTCTTTAATCATTCATGTGAACAACAACACATTAAGCAGCACCTGACTGCACCAAGAACAATCACACCTACAGCAGCAGGATACTCATCAAGACGTGCCTGATACTGTTGGGTATCTGACTCTCTCACAGCACAAATACCCAGGTCTACTCCATATTAGGATAAAAATAATGCTTTTCATCTTATCCTTGATCCTGTCATTATTTAAAAGATTTTGATTTCAAGAAAAATTAAATTATACATTGTCTTCTTGTACACAGAAGTGGTTTTAATGACAAATTAATTAGGAATTAGTTTTTTTGCATTTGACATTAAACTGGTAAAAGAACACAAGAACCCAATAGATTATGACAGATTTTTTCAAAGACTGCAACTCTGGTTTGCATCGTGTCTTTAGCAGAGATTTTAAGCATTTTACATAATAGTATCCGGTTTCCTTTCTCCCTCAATGTTGCTTGGTACAGTAGATCTTTATGTGATAATGAGACAGATTTCCTCCAGAAGCGGCCAATTAGATTTACTTTATTCATTTGGGCTGCCTAACTAAGGGGAAATGCTTGCCCATTGTCACAATGTATTCACAAACATGAGAATCAACAAGTTTAAATGTCAACTTCAACACTGTATTATTAGTATTATGTGCCTGTTCTTGTGGGTCTCTCTCTGTGGACCTCAATCATGTCCACTTAATGATGAACTAGCTATGTAATGTGTTACCAGGGACAGACAGAGTAAAGGTTGGGACAGTGCTGTCAGCCTTCTCTTCTTTTTCTGCTCTTGTTCGCTCCAATCATCTTGTCCTCTCCTCTGTTGTCTGCCTTTGTCAGTGTGCTTCTCTCACTTTCTCTTTGTCCCTGTCTTATTTGCTATACAGTTTTACCCTCTAATAAACATATCAAGCAACAATACCACTAACCTTTTCACCTCTCAGCACCATACAGCAGAATATGACAGCATTGCCAACATCCCTATAGAAAAATAAGTCAAAGCTGATGCCAACCAAAGACAGGATCCCTACTTGTGTTCACTTTTTCCAGCCTAAATTAAGACATGACGCTATAACCTTTATATATTTTGGCACAAAAATGAATGCCACACACAGACTCTGCCTCTGTGGGAGAGTAAATGCACCCCATGGACACACATACACACATATATCGTGTACAAGGATGGGAGCCTGCACACACACATTCAATTGTGGAGAAAGTAGACACCTTTCCCAACACAACCTCGCACTGCACAGTCGCCAGTCACACCTCCGAGCATAGTGACAAATGAGCAGCTCTGGAAATGTGGACAGATCACACACACAAACTTGCGCGCACACAAACACACACACACAAATGCACACGCTCAATCACATACACAGCTGGAGGCAAAGAGCATCAACGTACTCCCATATGCAGAGGGAATCACCCACATGCACTAAAACACGGTGCAAAGAAAGCGCAGGTGGCTGCTACATTGTTTTTTACTCTCTTTGCGTTCGTGTGTGTATGGAAAGTCAGCGACAACGCATGCCGGTGAATGAACAGGTACGCTTCCGAGCAATGCTGCACACAGGCACTTAGACGTGCACCGCAGCTCACACACATCACACACATCACACACACACACACACACAAGGGTATCGCAAACGATAATTCACACACAGCAACATGTACAGAAACTACATTGTATCAACAAAAGCATCTTTGAGTTGAAGCCCTTCCTATGTCAAAAACATGCAGATAGGCATAAAGAGAAAGAGAAAAAGATAGAGAAAAAAACACAAAAGTAGATGGAGGGGAAAGAATAAGGGATGACACACAAGTGAAAGATGAGAGGAGAGGAGAAAAGGAAGACAATTTGTACATGAAAGGAAAAACAAGCATGAAAGGATGAAGAAACTGAATAAGACAGAAGCCGATAACGAGAGGAGGAGAGAGTGGGACAGGTCCCTGCTTCACAGACAACACACGGGAAAGCAAAGAGGGGAGAAGAGGGGATGAGAGGAGGAGGAGAGAGATGGAGGAGCCGGAGTGAGAGGACCGGGATTTTCTCTACTTACAGAATCTCAAGATCGCGCAGTGCCCGGAAAGCTCCATCTTCGATGCAGCTGATGTGGTTTTTATCCAGCTGACTGCAAAACACACAGGAGACAGAGAGGCTTTGTTACACAAGACATACACACACAATCCTTCTCCCAGTGGGGTAGTTGTAATTATCGATACAGTAAGCAGTACACTGATGGACCATAGTAAATCGATACTGGTTTAGTCATCTCAGGTCATGTAACCACACGAGAAGCAAAGGGGGACTTTACTGATTGTTTATCTGCATCGCTATACCTCATAAATCTGTGTGTGAATGTGCATATCTGATGAAGACGTAAATCACAGTTCCTACAAGCCATGTTTGGGGCGCTGCTTGTGTGTGAGTTGGTCTAATCAGAGTGATTTAGAACACACTGAACATGCATACACGTACACACCAATACGCATATAATGTTTTATTCTTACCGAGGGCCATTAACTCAGCCAGATAAAGAAAAAAAATGTTAACATGCTGGAATTATACTGAATGAAGTGTGAATGGATCACATTATTCTGCTGTTCACTTACAGTAGCTTTCAGTGTGATTTACTTCACTCTGGATAATCTTGATTTACTCTTCATTGACTTACCATCACTGATTTTTATTATCAACTAATAGTGCATCTACATTTGCCATTAATTAATTAACAGATTAGTCATTTCACACTATGACTATTATTAGCTGATATGATTGTAATTGAATATCTTTGGATTTTAGTCTGTCAGACAAAACAACACACTGAGAAATCATCATAGGCTCTGGGAACTTGTGGCATAAATCATCATTTTCTAACCAATCATTCATCAATAATGAAAATAAGTATCAGTTGCAGCACCATCCCTGCTGGAAAGATTGAACTACTCACAGATTTTTGATGTCTGTAGCTCCTCTGAATGCTTTTCTGGGGATGGACTGGATGAAGTTCTCGCTCAGATCTCTGTGGAGACAATAAGTAGGCTTTAGTTACACATTACGTATCCTTGGTTTGGTTTGTTTAGTTCAGGCAGGTCATTAAAAAAAGCACCCTTTTCTGGAAGCAATATTAACACGTTCCAACAATTTCCTATGTAAACTATGATTTCCAGTGTTTAAAGCTTGCTTTTCAACCAGCAGAATTCACAGTCTATTCAGAGTCACTCCCTCTTTTACCACAGTCAACGGTGCAGAACAGAAAGCTAAGGGTAACTGTGTTCTCCCTCCAGTGTGTGCCAAAACCCTGAGGTGCATGGTACTGCATGGAGAGCTCTACCCACAGTGGAGTGGTTATTTTATAGTGGCTGTATTATCCAGTGTTCACTCATGCTATAATTTGTTCTCTGTGCCTTAACCATGCTCTGGTGTGAGGTGCCCAACTCACTGCCTGCACACAGACAAACAAACAGGCAGTGGGGCAGCAACCAATGAGGGGTTCTCGCTGTTCCTGTGGGGTGGATTCATTAGGACGCTGCAGCACAAAGCACATTATCTTTTATTAGGCTGTGTGTGTATGTGTGTGT